CTTGTCTGTTGTATGAAACTATGACATAATTGTTTCTATAACATAAATTATGTATGTTCTTTCTACAGGATCAAAATTCCAATACCTATATTCCTTGTATATCTAAAGATACACACAAAATAGGTACAGAAACCTATATGTTAAAGGACTTCCCATGTAAATTAAATCCTCTATGAGCTGGATTAGTGACTAGAAGAAGGCATGAGGCAGCTTGTAGAGTTCTAGTGATATTCTGTATCTTGATGTAGGTGCTGGTTACACTGGTATGTTCTTAGTGAAAATTCACTGAGCTATGTATTTACCAGCTATGTACTTTTTGTATATTTTATAATTTATAAAGTCTTATATTTTTAGGCTGGGCACAGTGGCTCACGCCTGTAATCCTATCACTTTCAGAAGCTGAGGCGGGAGGATGGCTCTAGTCCAGGAGTTTAAGACCAGTCTGGGCAACATAGTGAGACCTATTTTTCTATTTTTTTAACTTGTATTTTTTAAAATGCTCAATCTAAAAACTTGTCTTACTAAAAAGCACTGATATCATCCCTCTTACCAAAGTAGTCAAACCCTAGTGAAGAAAACAGATAAGTAACGAAGCAATTTCATTAGATAGCTATGATAGAAGCAATTACTATGTGCTACAGGAGCACATAAAAATGGTACCTAACTTAATCTGAAAGGGGTAAAGGAAAGCTTCCTGAAGAATATACATCTGAACTGAATCCTAAAGGTCAGACAGAAATTAGCCAAGCAAAGGAAGGGGAAAGCAGAAATCAGGGAAATAGAACATCAAATGTAAAAGATAAGAAAGAAAGCACACTACCTGAGAGGAAGCCTAAAGTCAGTAAGAGTGGATTAAAGAATTTAAGGAAGACAGCAAGTGAAGAAAGGCTAGAGAATTAAGAGTTAGATTATAAATGATCTCATATACATGCCATGCTACAGTTTAAACTCTATCCTGAAAGCAATGAGACAGATTTTTTGAAGATTTTTCAATAGGGAAGAACATGATTTGATTTTTATCTCTACTATACATGTCAAAATTATGGTGTGGGCCTCGCTCACAACCCCATTTCGCGGTAAATGAGCCTGCACACTGCCCCATACTTTCTACCACTAAGATCTTTCCCCATACCCATATATACATACAAGCACACAGCTAACCATAAATGGCCAAGAATGGTGACATAACCTAAGTACACACACTTGTTAGCAATCAATGAGAAAAAGAGCTGAGCCAAAGAAATTGTTTCTTGGGAATTCAAATCAGAAAATCCTAAGGAAAAGGAAATGGTTAGCAACAGGAGCTGAAGTTAAAATGACTGCAGCCAAGAGGTGAGATGCTGGCATGGGGTCACATAGTAGTTGTAAGGAGCAGAAATTAGGAATAAATGGAAGCTATGACATGGTGAAAAAAACTGGAGAAGAAAGAAAGGGTATCTAGGACAAGTTAACAATGCAGCACTGGAGTGAAGTCTCCAGCTTTATTAGGTTCTTATTCTTCTTGAGAGTAAGTTTTATTAGGTTCTTGTTCTTGAGAGCAAGTTGTTTAACTTTTCCTGGGTTCCCCTGTGTATGGTTCCTTTCAATAAGCACTTCATTACTTAAGGTAACTTGAGTCTCTTCCCCACAATTGAAAGAGCTTGGCTAAAAGAGCATTTTAGAACGCTTAATCCAACAGCAGTCAAGAGAATGAACTGGAGGGCATAACAAGAGGCAGAAGACAGAAGGTAGGAAGACCACTCAGCATTACAGAAGCCCAATAAACAGATATTTTTAGTTAAAATAAGGTAGAGGCAACAAAAAGTAACAAGGAATGACCTGAAATATCATGAGGGAAAACGTACTAGACAGTAACAAACTGGATGTTGGCAGTGAACTACAGAGTGAAGCCGAGGGCAATTCCCAGGTTCCTGAAGGTTTCACGAGGAAATCTCTCCCCATCGTTTTGTGGGGGAAAGAGGCAGGAAGAGTTTTGTTTCCTAAATGTTTGGATTGAAGTGTTTGTGAAATGTGAATCAAAGTGGTGATGTCCTTTGGCAGTGCTTTTACAGGGGTCTAGAGCAAAGGCAAGCACTGTAGACAGCAGTTCTAGACTTAGGAATCAATACATTAAGTCAATACTGTGGTTTTTAAAATGTCTGAAAAGTCTTTGACTAATATTTATTTCAAACTGAGTTAATATAAACAAAAATCACTCCAACTAAAAACCTTAATATTCTTGGGAAATCATATTTTCAAACCTCCTACACTTCTCTGCAATTATTAAAGATTGAACAAACTTCCACATAGTATAATCCAAATGATTAGGAAAGATGGAGTTTATATTGCTAACTTCTATTGAGGTACTTTCTTAAAAAAAACTCTAAGTTTACCCAATTTCTCTCAGGAACTATATAGTACTAAAATAACTAAGGGAAAATAACTGTTAAAAATTCATATATTAGATAGTGAATCTCACTGTTAATGCTTAAACTAGAATAAGATTTTTTTTAAGGAACTTAATCATGTAATTTACTAATTTAAATATTCAACTCTACCTGTAATTTAAATGTTGGGTTTCCATCCTAAAACCTTTTCTCCTTCCTTCTGTATGATTTTGCCTCCAAAATCTACTACTATCAACCCAGAACCTGACACTGCGCTTCAGCCACAAATCCAGCTGCCTAATGGTCATCTACATCTGACAGAACTATAGTCACCTAAACTGAACATGTCACAAATTAACCCCCTATCCCTCTTCCTTGACAAAATAAAAATAAAATCCCACTCCTTATGGGAATCCCCAACTCAGTGAAAGGCACAAGCCAGAATCCTAGATTTTATCCTCTATGCAACTTCTCCGCAACCCCAAATACAATAAAATCACCAACTCAACTCCCAATATCCAAGTTCAGATCCAGTCTCACCATTTGCCTGGATAACCCTAATATTCCTGCCTTTAGCCTTATTCTACTCTTCAATTCACTACAGCCAGAATGACTTTTTTTAATGCAAATCTGATCATTCCAGTCCCCTGCTTTAAAATCCTTCAATAATTTAATAAATATAATTATCACAGCTAGTCACACTGTGGAAGCTCAGAGGTTCAATGAGACATTTAGTTACATCCTTTCTGTAGGTTCAACCTAAAAGAATCATGAGGAATTTTTTTCAAATCACAAAATTATTTAAATATACATATAACAGCAGATACATTTAAAAGAAAAGCATGTAGCATTGTTGGTAAAAGCAAAACATCAAAAATAACCTCCAGTCCACAAAAATGGAATACTATCCAGCCAGTAAATGAGGCACTTCCATATGTATTGCTAATAAATGATCTCCAGGATGTAGCACTAAGTGAAAAAAACAGGCTATGTATAGAGGGTAAAGTAGGCAACCATTTGTGTATAGTGTCTTAAAAATATAAATGTATATAGGTTTATATATTGAAAATATCTCAGAAAGGATACACACGAAGCTGGAAATAGTGGTTGCCGCTAAAGAGGAAAAATGGGTGGCTGGAGAATGAAGGCAGAACAGAAACTTTTTACTACATTACTCTTCTGAAACTTTTGGCTTTTACGTCTTGTTATTATCTATAATTTTAATGTGATTTTCTCCTTCTGTTACTTTAACATTTTTTACTGTGTGTGTGTGTATATGACTACAAAGACCTCTTTATATTTCATCTTTATACCAACATTAAAATTACGTACTGATCATTTGATGGAACATTACGTTTCTTTCTTGACAACTCGGGAGCTCAACTTCTACAAACATTTTATTCAACATTTTACTGCTATCGAGAAGGCTGTTGTTGGTAATGACCTCAGTGAACACTGCATGATTTCTGTACTTGCTTCTTGGAGAAGCAAGACAGCAGCACCAGGCAGCAAAAGTTTATTATTAAACCGACATCGAAGTATTCAGGGATTAAGGAAAGCTACAAGTCTTATTTTTCTAGCAAATCCAAAAACAGTGAATCCAAAAGTCCCCTGGCATCCTTTAAAAATAAAAATAAAAAACAGTTCTAGTATCTGCAGCAATCGATAAGGAGGTGAAGTAATACTACAAGACGACATAGTTATATCCACTAGTGCCACATGATTTAATCCTTACAGAGGTCCCTAAAACGCCAGAGCTGAACAACCTCACAGTTCTACACAGAACAGACTAGGTGAGGTGCAGGCTCTGTGACCTTATAATGGCACACACACAACTGGCCCCATGCTTCCATAACTTCACTCTGCCTCCCGCTTTTTTCAGCCCAACCCCTCCAAACATGGGTCTCGGTCGGTCCCCTTAAGTCACAACGGAGGGAATACACTAGGCTAAGCAAATACTCCCTCAGGATTTCATGGCAAAGCCCTTTCAACCAAAGAAAAGATCGCGACTGAGGAGAAAGGTAACAAGGTTTGCTTGAGGAGAGGTCTGTGAGAGAGGCTACAGTCGGTGGTGGGAGAGAAGCCAAAGTCTGTGACGGCTGTCACCACATCTACCGGGAGTAAGAGCACCATGACAGCGGCTATCTGAAAGCCGTGACGGCTAGGGTTAGCGCTAGTCGGCTTGGTGATGAGCGAGCTGGGAGGGGGTCTATTAAAAAGGGTAGGGCGAGGGGCAGCTGGGGGACGCAATGGGTTAGGGGGCGGTCGAGACTTTGTCTCAGGAACTGTAATGAGGTCAGCCCAAGGGAGGATGTAACGGAGTCTGGAAGCTCCATTAGGAGTCCTGAGAGACTCTGAGGGGTTCTAATGGGGTCTGCTGGATTGGGGGGACCGTGACAGAATCTCCGGGGAGGCTGGAGGACCGGAATGGTGTCCGGCCAATGGAAGATACGGGGGGTGGGGTCTACTGGGGATCCGGGGCCGTGATCTGGTGTTTGGGAGGCTCGGCGCAGACCCGCTCGCGGGGCGTCTCCGCTGGGACGGGGCGGGGCGGCCCGACCGGAGCCAAATAGCAAGGCTGAGACGTGGGCCAGGACGGGCTGCAGGGCCGCTGAGCGCTTGGGCGGGTCTTACCTCGGGCTCCGCCGCGGTGGCCACCGCAGCCCCCTCCTCTTGGGCGGAAGCTGCCTCCCACCCTCCGCCCCAGGGTCGGGCGGGAGATGGCAGAGGAGGCCGAGGCCACCGAGGGTCGGACGGTTCCGGGAGGGTGGGCCCAGCAGCCTCAGGGTCCGGGCGAGCGGCCGCTGCGCATCCCCCGCCCTGTCAGAGAGACTCCGCCCGGCCTGGGCAGGCACATCCCCCGCTGCACCCCGCCCAGAGAGCACGCGTTGGACCGCCGCCTCAACTGCTGCCAGCGGCCGCCTCTGCCGGTGCAGCTACTGCCTCTGTCGCCGCCTCTCGCGGTCCTGACTGTCCTGTACTCTCTCAACAGCCACAGTCAACCGTCGCCGCGTCCCTTGTCCGCTTCGGCCGCGCGCCCCCGACCCCGCGCACGCAACCCCGCCCCGCGCGACTCCACGGCTGCAGGCGAGCAGGCGCGCGCGCACTTACCTCCCACGCCCCCTACTGCCAGCCTGGGTCGGCCCCGCCCGGTCCCGCCCGGTCCCGCCCCCGCACGTGACGCCACCGGAGAGTACAGCGTGCGCTTGCGCGGACACGCCCCATTTCCTAGGCCCCAGGCCGCCCCGCCCAAATTTTTCTTCCTCACCTTACGGCAGAGCGGGGAACTCTGCCTTAGATTCTCCCTGTACTGGAGAGGGATGTCGCAAGGTTGGGGAAGAAACCTCTGGGTTTGCGACCGTAGCTGTCGATTTCCGGCCAATACAGAGGTGTCTGAAGGCTGGTTGGGGTGGTGAGGCCCGAGGCAGGTAAGAAGCCTCCTCCCCACTTTGGTTTGTCTCAGTTTGTCCCGGCAGTAGGTCGCTTTCCCACTCACTCAGATTCTGGCGTATCCGTGCTCCCTCCCGATTCTGGACCTGGATTCTCAGCGCCGCCGGTCACAGCCCCCGCCCCCTTTCAAACACGCACGCTCTCTCCTCCCACCCACCCTCATTGTCCCCGCCCCGACCTCCGTTTCCAAGTCTTCGTTTCCATTCATTCCTCAGACTTTTTCACTGAGTGGTTTCCATGTCTTGGGTTCCAGAATGTCAGAGGCGAATGAAATAGTCTCAGCTTTTTGAAGTGCTTTTATATAGGAGACCGTGAGAGAATCCGCAGTAGTAGTACAATAAAGTGATAATTGAGAAAAATGCACGGGATGCTGTCTGCGCACAGAAGAGGGGTCCCAGGTTGTGTAGGAGGAGAACGTGAGGAAGTCCTTTCCAAGGTGACTTTTGGGTCACTTTTAGAGGACTGTGTTAAAAGACTAGTAATCCAGTACCTGGTCAAAGAAATAAGAGAGGAGGTAAAAGAATAACGGGTGCAAAAGCATGTGACAGTGGTGGTTTGAAAGAGTCAAAAGAAAAGTAAAATCTGATGGAAACCATACTGTAGAGTTCCCTTTAAAGAAGCATCATTATAAAGTGAGAGAAATGAGGAACGAGAATATGGCCCTCAGGAATGTTTTCTGTTTAGGTAGAAGACTCAAAAGTGTACACGAAACCGAGAAGTGGACTCTTCGAGGGTGAGGGAGGCTAATTTACAAGATCGAGAGCACTAGTGGAAAACAACCTTGTATGTGCATTTGAATCACCTGGGAAACTGTTAAAACCAATACTGTTGCCCCACTCTAGACCAATTAAATGCTGTGTTTTGCCAGGTGTCAGTACTGTTTTAAAGCTCCACAGGTGACTCTAATGCTAAAGATTGAGACCCACTAAACTAGAGAGAAGTTGAGGGAGTTGGCTCTGTAACATTAAGATGGAGGTCATTTAACTATGGAGAGGCTTGGAGATGGAATGAGAAACTTGAGTGGCGTTATGTTTTGAATAACTGGTCTGGGAAATGGGAGAAGGAGCCACTCTTGCCTTTCCCTTCAGCACTGTTCATTCCTCAGTGTTTATCAGGTCCAACTTAGGTACTCGTCTCTTTGCTCTCCCTTTCCCTTCCATCCAGAATTAGTCAGCTGTTGTCTCCAGCCTTACCGCTCAAAGGCCATCCCCAAATCTGTCCCCAAAAATGATCAGAGCTACGCCAATTTATGAGATGCAAAGACCAACATCCACTCCCGTGAGATTACTACATACAGTGCCTTGCCAATTTAGAATCTTTTTCTGTTATTTATCATTTAAATTAGTAACGAGATATAAAGATATTTAAAATACAGCTCTATTAGGATCGAAAATTACCGTATTAGGGACAACTAGGCCTTTACACAAAGAATTAGCAGGCAGAGAAGCTGTATGAGGTGAAGACCAAGACAGTGTATGGCTGCTATCTATTAACTAGGGTTAATCCAAAAACCTGTCTATCTGCCCCGATAAGAACGAGTTATTGTTGTCTAGTATAGCTAGAGCATAGCATGGAAAGTAGAGGTGGGACAGAGATGAAGATGATAAAGTGGGTGTGAACAGATTATGAGGAGCCTTGAATTCCATGGTGAAGAGTTTAGATTACATATGATACTAGAAACAATTGATAAGTACAAAAAAGGTTCTTAACCTCTTTTACCCAGTGGACCTCGTTGGCAGTCCAGCTTATAGACTCAGTCTCAGAAAAATGTTCTTAAATGTATAAAATAGAATACATACTAATATAAAGGAAACTAATTTTTTTAAGTTTTTAAAATATTAAATGTGTGATATATATGCACTTTATGCATCAAATAAAATCTGGCAGCAGGTCTAATTATATAATTTCTAAGTAATGATGACTATATATTTTGAAATGCCTGCAGCAACTTTAATCTGATGTGAAAATATCAGATTTCTATTGGTAAAAAAAGAGAATGCTAATACTGTAGTTTATGGTCCACACTTATTGAAGAAATGCTAAATTTCAGCTACTGATTATTGAAAACAAATTGTTTTCCCAGTCTGAGTTCACAGAACCCTGATATTCTAGCCACATCCTGGTCTATGGATCCTAAGTTTAAAAATATCTCAGTGTAATGGTTTTAATCTAGAGCATGACATCAAATCTGTGTTTCAGAAAAATGATGAAGCAGTGTTCACTTCCCAGCCTCTCTGCTGGGATGAGAAGCTGGCTGTTTTCTTCTGTGTCTCCTTTACCTCTGGGGCAGCAACCAGTACTATCCCACTGTTTCCTAATAACCGGGGCCTGCAGAGGGACTAAGCTTGTGGATGTATATATCTGTGAGAGCAATACCAGAAAATAAATCAGGAAAGGTAGATTGGGGCTATTTTTGTGGAAATCATTGAATGCCAGGCTATAATTTGTAGTTAATTTGGTAGACAATGGAGGGTTGTTAAAATTTTTGGAGTAGAATAATGTGATTAGAGTTCTGTTTGAAAATCTAGAATAATGTGCAGGTTAGATCATCTAAAGAGAAGATAGGAATGAAGAGACTAGACCAATAAGTTAATTTTTAAAAAACGGAATCTTGGGCCAGGTGCAGTGGCTCAGGCCTGTAATACCGGGACTTGGGGAGGCTGAGGCAGGAGGATCACTTGAGCCCAGGAGTTCAAGACCAGCCTGGGCAACAAAGTGAGACCCTATCTCTCCAAAAAAATATAAAAAAGAAGAAGAAAATTAGCCAGACATAGTGGTGCCTGCCTGTGGTCCCATCTACATGGGAGACTGAAGCAGGAGGATTACATGAGCCCAGGAGGTCGAGGCTGAAGTGTTCATGCCACTGCACTCCAGCCTGAGTGACAGAGAAAGAGCCTGTGTCAAAAAAAAAATCTTGAGGTGATCTCTAGAGAGTCTGCTAAATTCCTTTATTTCCACAATGTGCTGACCAGGCTAGAGTAACATACATTGGAATAAATTGCATACCTTTCAACAGGAATATATACCCCAGTGTGGAAGTCAGTTAACATTTTATGTGGTCAAGAGGCTAGCCCAGTCTTTTGAATTATAAATGATATTGTTAGTACTTCTAATAAAGCAATGGCCTTACCATAAGTTCACAGATCTTGCCAAGGCCTTCCTCAGTCAAATTCCATCTATACCTGTGAGTCCTACATTTCTGACTTTTAAAAGTCAGAACTCCTCTCTCTCTGCCAATTCCTTAAACTTCTTGGATGGGAAAGAAGTTTAGTTTAAACACATTAGCAAAGAACGGAAAGTCCTCAAGGCCCAGGCAGCCCATCTCCTTCGAAACTGATCAATACCAGACTATAAAAACTTACTGCTCAAATCCAGCTAGTACCCAAATTATGTACTTTTTAAATGTATTCTAAAAAATTGAATTTGGGGTTCAGGTATTACTGATCCAAATGAGTCCTATAAAATTAATTTCCAGAACTAGGTTCTCAGAGAGGCCACCATTACCACCTTCTTCAGCGTGACTAGCCTATAGTGACTTTCTGTCCATCAAATAATTGGAGGCCATCTGGGTGGTGATACGAAAAATCAAGTTTATGCAGAACTTGAGGTTCAGCTATCTGATACGTTTTGCAGGAGGAAGAGGAGTGGGTCTACCTGAAATCAGAAATAATACTTTTGTGAGGCTTTTTAATAATTTTTATTACTTACAGAAAATTTCTGAGAGTTCCTTTCTCTGGCTCCCAATTAAATGGCTTACTCCACAATCAACTTATATAAGCACTGGATCATTGTCTTGATCCCAAAAAATGTGTCCCAACTGTAGTTGCCATTTTGAGCATCTGTATTATTGTTTGAAAACCTTAGGCTTGCTTTCCCTGATGGCCAGTGAATAAAACTCTCAAAGAGGTGTGATTCATTACTCATTCATTCATTAGGTATTTATTGAACCTCTACTATGTGCCAGGCACATTTTTGAAACCCACTAATGAGCAATTTGTAATGACAATTTACCTTTTAACTATCTATGAGAAAAGTAACTTGCCAGGATTTGAAATCCTCAGAACAAATGAGATTAAAAGATCATTTTTTTTATGTTCTTTCAAATAGTGTGTTTGCATAGAGCTGCCATGTGCTGACCACAGTGATTATCTGTGAAATGAGGTAAATCGTGGCTTTAGCTTAACCACTCCTTATCAGACTGTGTTACCACATGTACTAAAATAAAGTTCTATCTACACCTTTATAAAATATTATCTTACACAGACGTCTTATTAATTCTAATGGCCTCTCCACACCTGGCCCTCACTCCTAGTCATTTCAAAGTTTGCAATTGTGTAAAGTCATTTCTCAGAAAATTTGAAGCAAAAACTAAGTCACCACAAGAAAAACTTGGTATCCACCAGTTTTATATTGAGGACAAAAACCGTGACACAATTACAAATGGAACTTTTTTTTTTTTTTTAAATAAAGTTTTGCTCTTCTTCCCCAGGCTGGAGTGCAATGGCGTGCTCTCGGCTCACCACAACCACCACCTCCCGGGTTCAACCGATTCTCCTGCCTCAGCCTCCCAAGTAGCTAGGCTTACAGTTGTGCACTACC